TTTCAATTTTGATATATTTTGTATCAACTTTGTCACACTCACATCTACATGCCTTGTAAGGACCTTACACATCTTCATTTTGCTTTGGCAGTACTTATTCAATAATTAGACTTTTAATATGAAGCACCATCGCATCACTAAGGCTTCGTTTGGGGCAGTTATCTTAATATTTTCTAAAATAGTTTTTTGGTACAATTTTTTTTTTTTAAATTTTGAAAGATGTAAGAAAACACTTGCCAAAAGTTATCCCTAATGAAGCCTAACTCTTTGGATCTAAGTTGTTACGGATGTAAGTAAACACTGTAACGAAACAAACAAGAAAATAAAAGCAGTGTAAACTAAAAGACATTGAGATTTAATGTGAAAAAATTCAAAATTGGGAAAAAACTATAAAGGTACACCACACTAAGAAATCCACTATGAAAAATGGGGAGAAATAAGTATAGATATATCTTCTCTCTCTTGCTCTCACCTTACTTCTCTTCTCTCTTGCACCATTATAACACTCAAAACAAATGAGAAAGTCAAGTTAATAATAATAAGGGATGCCACCCTTGAGAAAAATGATAAAGAAAACTGTTCAGTCTGCTTCGAAGTGCTGCTGCGCTTGTTTGTAGCTTTGTGGCGCTCAACCTTCTGATCTTGATCCTTTTGGTGATGTTGCGACGCTCAAACCTGTAGTGCTGCGTCACTACAAAGCACTGCAGCATCGAATCTTGAGCGATGTGGTGCTCTGCTCTATGTCGTTTCTCCTAGCAGAATTTACAACACTGAGCGCTCGAGTACACCAAAACCCTAGCTTAGGTGTACCCCTAACGAGCATGACAAATTGAATTAAAATCTGAGATAACTGAGGTAACAACACAACCCGGTTGATCATCACAATCAGATTCCACATAAAACTAACAATGATCATGGAATGACTTTTAAGTTTGGTGGTGGGGTCAAAGTAATTTTTAATGTTCTAAAGTAGATGATTTTTATTATGAAGTCACATAGCTTCGTAAGTTAGTGAAGCTTGATGGAGTTTTTCATTTGAGAAAAAAATTTATATGATGTGAAGAATTTTTATGTGAAAGAGATCTCATTTGAGGGAGAAAAAGAGATAATTTTAAGGATGTAATGATGCCAAGTTGTCTTATGAGTTGACTCAAATTTGACTATATAAATGACTTAATGAGTTAATAAGTAAGCTTGAGTAAACCCCAAAGTGATTATCTCAACTTTTAGACATCACTGAGCATGATGAGTTATTACTCATATGACTTTATGCTCAACTAGCTCTCTTTTGCTAGGGCTCTTAGTTCATCATTTTCGATATATAAATATCTTTGGAATATTTAGATCAATTAAAACAATCATATACACATATTACATACGCAAGTCTATAATCTAATAACTCTTTGTTGGTAGTCACAACTGATAAACTAATAGATCAAGATGAGCTGCTATAAAAAAAACTTGGTTAACTCGATAATAGAGATGTTGGCTTGATTGCCCCAAAAAAATTTAAAGAGTATTTAGGTGATCATTAAGCACAAGGGCGGATGGAGGGGGGGGGCACGTGCCCCCCCCCCCCCCCCCAAAAAAACAAAAAAAAAAAAAACCCCCAAAAAAAAATCGGGGTTGGAGGCTGATTAAGGAAATAAGTCAAAAAAAAATCGGGATTGGTCGACTTCCTCAGCTGCTCGGACGGAAGCCTTTCGGCCGTGAGGTATTTTTTTTTTCCTTTAATTTTTTCACATTCAAAAGTATAGGCAATGTAAAAGCCCGTGGTTATCAGAACTCCATTATTACCTCTTAACAGAGATCAACTTAATGTTTCGCTGAACGGCCATTAAGAACAATATTCAACGATTACAAAAAGCAAGGAAAAAACATGTAGGAAAAAACATGTAAAGCAATGAGTTAAGGGTCATGACCTGCAATTGATATAAATTAATATAGTTTATTTTATGAAACGATGGATCTTGTGCCTTAGTTTTTTTGGTAGAAGTAAATTATGAAAATCTGAGAAATTTTTTGGGGATATTTGGCCGGAATTTGCAAAGGAGCAAATCTATTTTATTTTGTTAAATTTTATAAGTTTTATTGTTTGTTTCTTTGCATTTATATGGTTTATTTTATAAGTTTTATATTTTGTCCATTTTTTGAATAGATATATACTTAGATTAATCTTAATGCATCTTTGAGTTGGAATATTATGGAGAGATATATCAAACGATCATCAGTTCCAAAAACATCAAATGACAATAGCAATCAGGTTGAAGATCATAAAGAAAAGCGTATTCAAATTGACGAGGGATGAAAGACAAAAGATTTAATCCTATTTGGTTTGACAAGTATTCAAATTGGCTAGATTATAGCATAAGCAAAAACAAATCATACTGTTTTTATTGTTATCTGTTCAGAAAACCAGGTAGAGGCAATGAAGATGAAGAAGCATTTAATAAAAATGGATTTTTAAATTGGAAGAAAACAAACAAATTTGATTTTCATGTAGGATGTCATAACAGTGCGCATAATAATGCTATCTTGTATTTAATATTATATGTTTTTGGATAATTATTAATAAAAAAATTTTAAAACTACCTATGCCGATCCCAAGCCCGGATGAAAAAAGTTGAGTGGAAAATTTTACTAAATTAATTTAGGCCCCCCCTTGATAAATTTTCTGGCTCCGCCACTGATTATAATACTCCTCCAAAACAAGTTAAAAATAACATCAAATCAAAAGTTTATCAAGCCCCTTTAACTGCTTTAAAATGATATTAAATCATAATTTCATTTGTCAACTAAAGCTTAAATATCCTATCAATATAATTAGATCCTACCTTAGGTGGGCGCGCAGGCTGACACGTAAAGGCTCGGGCTGGTGCGCGGGTAGGCTTGGGTAGGTTCAGGCAGCACGATCAACTCATTTCAAATGGATTTTCGGGTTGACTCGAAAACCCGACGAGTCAAGCCAAACACAACTCGTTTTTATCAAACGGGTCAAAACCGGGTATTCTAACCCGACCCGTTTATAACCGGTTGGGTCCAACTCGAAATTTTTGGGTCGGATTTTCATGTTGTGTCAAATATTGGCACTCATAGGCATAACTAATCTCTCGGTGAAACCTAGCGGCAATCATCCCACAGATATCCGGGCCCACGCTTGCCTACTCCTCTCAAAAAGACAAGCGGCTCGAGAGAGAAATCAAATATGAGTTGGGAGTACCCATTCATACTCACCCATCAACCAAAGACGCTCCCACACTAACCTTCTTAAATAAAGCCTAAATTTACCAGCGCATGATAGTTTTTAAATTTAATTTCTGAGAAATGGGACAAACTGGAACTGCGGTGGGTTCCGGAACACAGACCACTGACCAAGCTCAATTGTGGAAGCATTAAATAGGCAGTTTGGCGCCTGGCCGCACGACCCCCCACCCACCATCAGCTGGCTATCCACTCCGGGCCGCCAACTCGCGTTTGTCGGTCCGAACCGCCCTTAATAAATATACATAAAATTTAACTCAAACCGATTTAAGCAGTGAACTGCGGGCATCCATGGCCCGCAGCTTCCTTCATCAACATCGACGCTCTCTTTCTCTTAATTTTTTTTTTATCCACTTGCGTAGTTTTTTATTTACTCTGATCATCTTTGGGAATGTTGTATTGTGAAGTTTTTTAATTTGTTTGAAGAAAAAAATATTTCCTACTTGAAATTATTTTTAGGAAAATATTTTTTTTAGTTTTTATGATGAGTATTATAAATATTTATTCTAATTAGCTTTTTTATTATTTTATTTTCATGTTACATTTATGATTTTATTTGACTATTATTTCCTTGACGTTGGTTAAAAAATCGCGGTGTGAAATTACTTTTTACAATTAGATTTGCTAATAAATGAAATCAGGAAGAAAACAGCCATTTGATTTATTTTTCAAATATTATAATATCCACACCATCTTATACTTCAGCAGATCCACAACAAAAAAAATAGCTTATCATTACATAAATTTTTAAAAAACAACAAGAAAATAATTGCAAAATAAAATTATAATTATAACCTAAATAACAAAACAATCAGAAAGCTGCACCAATGTACCCTTAGTTTACATAAATAAACAAGCTAAAGTAATAAGGTCATAACCCCTTTCATATTTTTATATTTTTTATGCAACATAATATATTATAAATGCTAAATATTTAAAATTAAAAAAAAAAAAACTTCATATGCAGTTCAAGTAAAATACCGCATTCTACACAAAATTAATGCACCGAAAAGTATAATTAAAGACATCAGATTTTGATAAAATAACATTGCAACAGGAGAAGCACTATTATAGGCTTGTTAACAGTTAAGCTCTAAAACAAATGCAATTTCCCGGCTTTAATCAAAAAATAAATGTCCACATACCTATTGGTAAAGTGAAACCGGACAATTTTAGAATTAGGTTTATCACTAATTATCGATAATTAAGAACTAATTGCTAGACAAATTTAGTTTAATAAAATTTTAAGAAAGTGGCTATAGTAAGACTATTTTTAATAATAATTAACATAGTGAAGAAGGAAAGCAGTTGAAGAACTAAAACTAACAAGGAAACCTCGAGACTAGACTCAGAAGATAATAGTAGCTCTTTTATTTCACCAGCTTACCGACCACATTTTCAACCCCTCCACCTCTTAATAGCTGTACAAATCCCCTTCCCAACCCCTTCTTTTGGTAGGGACAAAAAATATATATATCAAAATGATATGAAGCTGCTATCTACAGCAATCTGAATTCTCCTCACACAACAAAACATGGGGAATACAGCAAATTCCCCTTCAAATTATGGGCGAATTATTAGGTCTGGTCACCTGACAGAAAAATACATCCAGATTTCTCTCTGTCTACAGTAAAGCACAATCAAAACGTATTTACTATAGTAGCTACGCTTTGACTGTACATTTATTATAGACAGAGAGAAATCTGAATGTATCTCAACGACCGGACATAATAATTTTTCCAAATTATGACTATATAACTATACGCTTCTTTCCAGGAAGAATTTCAAAGCGAAATCATGACAATATAAGAGAAAAAAAAGTGTTCCAGGCTTCTTTTATTACTTCACTGAGCCAGCTCTTCGGCAGACTTTTTGTAGTGCCTCTGCAAACAATCCTGAGAATCCAGTCATCGCCTGAAAAACTCCAGGCAGGCCTGTCTGTATATTGTTCAGCGTCATCGACTTGGTGACCTCCACTGCCTTCGCATGTCGAACCATCTCGTCTTCTACCTTCCTCCTACACACTGCAATCTCGGCTTTCTTCTCTGCAAGTGGGTCGCGCGCATCGAGCAATTGGCCATCGGGACCATCTCCCCCTCCAGGAATCCCAACTCCGACCATTGAATATGTTTGGTAATACTTCTTTTCGATGGCTCTTAATGCAGTGGACTTCTTTTCAAGCTCTCTTGAGTATATTTCAGCCCTCTTCTTGACCTTGAACTCCTCCTCCTGCTTCGTGGAGATGACATGGACGACGTTCACAAAGCTCTTGATAGCTTCAGAAGCTACGGTGTCTGGGAGGTGATCAAGGGCCTGCTTCCACTCATCGCAGAAAGCTGTGAGCTCAATGGCGATAGGGGAAGAATGCTGCTTTTGAGGACTGTCGCTACTGACGGGAAGGAGAGTGAGCTTAACCCAGGCGTAGAGGGCATGGATGTACTCGCGGTGGAATTTGATGAGGCGGTTGAAGCTGGAGTGCCAGGAGGAAACCGCAGCCTCAAGGTCGCGAGTGGCTACACGGTGCAGATCAGAGGTGTACTGACCGGAGATGGGTCGATGAACAAGACCTCGGACTTGTTGAACTATATTGTTCTGGATCTCATGGAACTGATTCATTGATCTCCACATGTTTAAAGAACTGCAAATGCAAAAGTTTAGGGTTTAACGTTTATTTGAGATGTAAAAAGTTGGCACTTTTGATGTGAAGAAAGCGTTTGTTTACCCATAGCACATATCAACAAGTTGAGGGACAAGCTCATTATCTCGGACTCGTGTGATTGCAGAGGAAGTGGTGGAAACAGCCTGAGATGTAACGATGATCAGTGATTGGAGCTTGTTGATGGAAGCCTTAGTCTTGTCCAACTTTGCATCATCTTTTCCTCTGTATTCCTGGCTCTGCAATGATGATAACTTCTTCTCATGCTCAATCTTCACACCCTCCCTCGCCTGCATTCATATAAAGTCTTGAAGAAAAGCCGGACAATATCATGTTCTTCCCAGATCAACTGGTTAGATCCAATTAAGGATCAAGAAACATTTATTTACAGCTTATTTTGAATCTTTGATAGACAAAACTACAACAAGGATCAGTCATTTGGCAAATTAACTATGAAGAAATTTTGAGCAGTTAGAGCTTTTATTGTACTTTCTTTCACCAATTAACTTTTTAATTATTACACAACTGTAAGATAGCTGAAACTAACTTTGAATTGAACATGCTTGATTTGATTCTGGACCAAGTCTCCATCCCCTACACACATAGAAGCACCACTTTCTGCATAGTAACAATTGAGATGTAGATTTTTCACTTATACGTGACTACCTAATTGCATCTTCCAGTCAATAGATCCCCAATCCCTTCATGGAGAAAGGACGCCATATAAATACCACTAATATGATAATATGCCAGACAAATGGGTAAACCAATGCATGCACCTTAAACCATCTAGTGACAGTTTCCCGTAAGATACTACAGGATGCCCTTTTTCCCCTTCTTTTGCTCCATTCGCAAATGGATAGGTTCATTTAATGTAGTCAACGATGACTTAGCGTGATTGCTCACACCATTCCTTTTCTTCTTGTGTAGATCCAATATAGTGGAGGGGTAAAAAGTGTACTGTGCAATTACTCAATCCCAATCATGTGATGCACTTTCAATGGCTAGGATTAACTCCATTAACTTTAGAAACTAATCTATTTTAGTTATCTTACAATCAATCACACCCACCGAAAATGAAGTTAACCACTCCATTGTAGAGAATCTACACCCCCTTTTCCTTCATATCTCGTGTAATTTAATCCAATTTCACAACAGTTCTTGATATAATTTGCAGAGTTAATAATCCAACTCACCCAAATTACAATAACCCAATTAGTAGCGCCACACCGAAGTAGGAAAAATATCAATTAGGGCAAAAAGAAAAAAAAAAAAAAACTATGGCAGGCCAAGGGCAGCAGTTCACATGAATAGCCTCCATGGCCCACCACCCAATGTAAACAGGGAATCGGCTAGCCACCGTGATGTGGAATTCCAAACAAATGGAAGCACAAACGACCAAAAAAAAGCCACATGCTATCACATAACGTACAACACAACAAAAAGTCCCCAGCAGCTTAAACCATAAAAATTGCCCAAAATTTTACTCCCGTAAATAGTTTGGTGAATGTCGACTGCTCAAAACTAGCAAAGTGAACGAATTACCAAAAAAAAAGGGCAGGATTCCACAGAACAAAGCCACCATACTCACTAACGCAGTACCCTTTTATACCAGCTCAACATTTATATCGCGTAGATTTAAACAGGCATAATAGTGAAGCACAAGATCTCATTTTTATTTTTTTTAATGTAAGGTAGTGAATCAAGTTGTAGCTTTAAACAATTTCCAAACTTAAGTACATCTTGGTGGAAAAATGCGAAAAGCAAAGAGGTTCTGATGCCTTCTGAGTACGGGCACAGAAACATTGACAAGTTGTATGCCAATGTAGTACTTTACTGAATAAATCTAATAATAAGCCCTTGTCCAGGCATGACCTATCACTAACAGTAATCAGTGAAATTATTATATGAGATCATCAAATATCATTCATAGGCCAATCAAGATGCGCCACATCATCAATTAATATATACCATTACTATGTACCGCTATGTATTGAGTTACATGGTGCGTCCTCATTGACCTCCAAACGATCTGGTGATTGCAAATAATAATTTCTCCAGTAATTGCACAACTTAACTAATCAAAATATAGCAAATTAGGTACCATAGCTTCGGGAAGAAGTGTCCTCAGCCATGCGCAAATTTTCACAGACAATATCACAAAGAGAAAACCAAATACCAACTAAGATCCTCCACTCGATACTTCTCCATCAAAAACAAGTTAATCTCTAGCTAGAATTTTTCCTTCAGCAACATTACGGTCTTCAAAAAAAAAAAAAAAAAAAAAAAAAAAAAAAAAAGAAGGCATGGAATCCTACTTTTCTTTTCATAAGATAATTAGACAAACTAACATTTTAGTTTATAAGAAAAGGGGCGTTGAACCAATCTCACGTTATCCATGATTAAGCAATCACTTTCTAAGTAAGATTCTAAGCTTAGATGCTTGACCTAATCATGACAATTTTAAGAGGCCTAACTTTATACATATAAAAGAGAGAAACAATCCGCGTTGAGCCTAGATGGTCCCTAATTCTTCTTAGCAGAGGAAAGTGGTAGGTACCACAGTGTGCTGCAAAACTAAGCAATCAACAAAGCAGTGCCATTTTAATAATAATGAAGCAATCCAATGTCAATGAGAAGAAGAAACATTTTCACACTCACAATACTGAAACATTTTGATCAAATTTACTCATATATCAACTTAAATAAAAAAAGTAATATAATATATGATCGAATTATTAATAGATCAACATATCAATTTGATGATTTAAAATAAAAATTGAACCGATTAGATGTAAACATGTTTTCAAATGAAGATTTTACCTTGACCTCTTCATATAACTTTTTCTCCCAAGCAAAAAGCCGCTCCAGTGTCGAGCCATGGCTCTTCCCCACGGACGACTCCTCGAGCGTACCGGTATCGAGCTGATACCTAATCGCCAATGGCGGCTTCGACGACCAGCTCGAAGACAAAGCGCTTAGCACGCTATTTGAATGGTAAACAGTTTCTGAAAAAAAAAATCATAATAACAGAAATAATTCCCGGTACAAATGGCCAAAAATGTAGCACTAATAACGACGACAGCCACTGGACCTAACTAATGACAGTAGTACTTGCTTACTCTTGAGATGCCGGAAGCTGCGCTCAAGCTGCGCGCGTCCAATCTCGAGTAGGTCGGAGACAGGCTCGCCGGAGGCTGAAGCCTTCTTAAAGTACTCCTCGAGGGAATCGACGATCTCCGCCAGATCACGGTGGCGCACCACCAGTCTGAGATCCCCGGCGGCGGAGGAAGAACAATCGTCCCTGCCATTCCAACGGGCTGAGTAAGATTCAAACTCCGATCTCTCCCGCCGCTGCGATTTCATCGGTGCGGTGAAGGTGGATCCGCTCTCCGATGGCGCTGGCCGGACACGGGCGCTGACGTCCACAGACGACGATCCCCCGAAGTCCGATCTCGGAGCTGTGCCCTCGGATCTCGAGTACCTTTCCTCCTCGTCGCAGTCAGATTTGGTCGATGAGCTTGTGCTGCTGCCGTAGTGCCGACGGGGGAAATCGTGCACCGCCGAACTATTGTCACCATCGTCATCATCGTGCGGGAGATGGTGCCCCTCGTGATAATTGTCTTCTTCCGGCTCATCATCAGATGACTGTTCTTCTTCTTCCTCCTCTTCTTTGAGCTGATTGAAGAAATCGGAGCTGGGAGGGGAGGGAGGATAGAAATTCTCCCAGTCCCAGACGGAGGAGGCTTGAGAAGGTGTCGAGGCGTAGGTCGAGGTGAAGCGATTGGAGTGACGCTTGGAGGCTGAGGGAGTGGGGACCGCGGAGGGGGTGCAAGGGACGCTGGAGTCGGACAGGATGTGGGGGAGCTTGGAGTTGGTGATTGAGGGAGTGTAGGGGGAATGGGAAGCCGGGGGTGGGGGAATAGAAGATGCAGGGGTTGGAGGAGGGAGTGAGGAGACGGTGGAGGGAGCGGCGGAGTGGTTATGGAGTAAGACGGGAGGGGTTTGCTCAGAGACGGAGAGGGGTTCACCAGCAGCGAACCGCTTGAGAGCAGACCCGGTGAGGAGGAGGGACCGGAGGTAGTCGGCGTGTGCGGAGGCGAGATGGTGGCGGGAATAGACAGCTTCTTTCATGAGGCGGCGACGCTCCTTGCAGCGCCGGACAGTGTCTTCGTTGTCCAGCCTAGACGCCGCGCATCCCATTGCACTGCGACTCCGAAGGAAGAGCAAGAATGTAGATGGAGTGGTGGGTTAGAGTGTGAGAGGATGAGCGAGAGCAGGGCAATGCCGAGAGAGCGAACAAAGCCTCGCCAGATCGGTGATATTCTATTCCACCAAATAATTCACCCACCATTCTTTTCTATTTTTGGTTTAATATTACAGACATGCCCATCGAATTTTTTTAAATAGCAAGTTTAATTATAGTTAAACATAGTATATTAGTTTAATGTATTCCAACTCTAATAAAATGAAAATTTAGGTCTATTTAATAAAATTCAAAATTATATATATAAAAAAAAAACTCATGTATCGTGGAGGTGAAGGGTTTGCAGAGCCAAGGCTAGGGGTTGCGTTTATAATTATGGAAAGGGAGAAATTATTTCGTGCGGACATCAGACGATGAGAATCGTTCGTATTTGCTGCCTTCTTACTGCCCTTTTGGCGCGCTTTTGCAAATACTCAGCAAAATGGCAATAAATATGCAGTTATAAAGGTACTTTTGATGAGTATTTATTACACTTTTATAAAAGGGCAGCAAATATCCTGCTAATTGAATATCCGCTACGTTTTTGCTGCCTTTTTGTAAAAGCGCAGCAAATTCTCAGTAAAAATGCATTCATAATTGTATATTTGCTGTCATTTTGCTGATTATTTGCAAAAGCGCAACAAAATGATAGTAAAAGCGAATCAAATCCAGAAGGTTTTCAACGTCCAGTGTCCGTGCAAAATAATCTCTCGTGAAAGGCGAGGTCAAAATGGAGGCACTATATTTTTATAAAATGAAGAGGTTGCGAGATCAACTATATGACACGAGATTTCGAGGGCTCTCAACGAAGGTGTAAGGTCTTACAATGGTTGTTAGATAGACAAAATTCCCACTAGGTTCGAGCGAATTAGGAGTAGGTTGAGAATGAATCATACATGATATATTAAATATCTAAAGAATTATTTTGTATTTATTTTATTCCAAATCAGTGACCTGGAAAATAAAAAATTCATTCATTCCTTCTACTCTATAATAATAAAAAAAATAAACAAAATATCCTATAAATGCATTTAATACTTGAGTGTCATAAAGAATTTTAAGTGAAGTTAATCGTTAGTGTGCTACAAAGCCTTATACGATGTGATCTTTTGCTTAGTTCTTAAAAACCTTAAATTGTTAATACTCTAAAATTGTTAATAAATAATCATCATAACAAAATAATAGCATTGATACATCATCATGAAATTATCTTGATCGGGCACGAATCTCACGCAAAAATCAAATTGGAAACTTCAAAAATTAAATTTGGAAGCACCCAAACTCCGATTTCAGCGAGCTTATAGTCAAACTGAGCATCTCGGAAATACGAACCCAACGACAACAAATTCAACTCAATCCGAGCCCAAATAAGCCCAAATCAAGTGCCTGAAGTGCTGTTGGAAAGCTCGTACCACAATTTGAGTTACCAAACGGCCTCCGATTTTAACAATCTTATTGTTGAATCGAGCAGCTCGACGAGAAGAATCCAACGAGCCCAAGATCGCCGAATTCTGACATCACTAAGGCCTTCAAATATCCAACGAACAGTGCACGATCGAAGGATTCAATATCAGTCATCCATTCAACCACTCTCTATTTGCCCCTGATCTCACGCCTATTTACGAGCTATGCTACTCCAGAAAAACTATAAATAGAGCCCTCATTTTTCATAAGAGGAGACCCAAACAAGAAGAAGAGAAGAAGAAGAGAAAGAGAAGAGAAGAAGAAGAGAAGATGAGGGAGAATCAGCTCCTCCTCCTCGACCACCGCCGGAGTTCCTTCCGCCGCCTGGATAACACCAGAATTCTGCCAGATATTCAGGGGACGCCGGAACTTTGCACAACTTTGTAACTGAATTTCAATTCAGAAGAAACTCATTGTAATCTGATTGTCCTAACTTGTGGGACGAATCAACCTCTTGTACCTCAAACTACGCTAGTAGAACTTTTCAACTGGGCGTGGCCCCGTGGCTTTTCCCCTTTTTCGGGTTTTCCACGTAAAAACCCTGGTGTTCTTTTATCTCCTGTTTGTGTGTGCTAGATATTCGTACAATGCTCAGACAAAAATTTTCTAATTTCTACCGGCGTGTATATTCTAGCCCGCAACAAGCATAATATTGCATGAGAGATCTAAGCGTTGGGCTGTATAAATTTTCAAGTTTTGGCAAAGCTAAATTAATTTACCTTATTCAATGTGCTACTACTTCATTTTTTTTCTTTTTCAAGATTGTTTTTGCTTTGAAATGGAGCTTTTTCTTAGAGGTGAAGTAGCAATGCATCTCAACCAATGAAAATGAGAGTAATCCTCCGATCTTTGATGTAATTTTTGAGGGGATAACGTTATGTGACGTGCAAAATCTTTTTTGCATAAAAATATGAGTTGGAGTTGTTTGATTATATGTAAATTAATTTTTTTATAGCAAAAATAATTTTTTTTACAGTTAAAATTATTTTTTATGAACAAGTAGTACATTAATATTTTATATAAATCATTACAATTGTCTCAAGTAGAGTAATCTCTTTATAAGTTGGTCTAAGGTTATGCATATTAAAGATGAGCTCTAATTAAAATTATATTGATTTTTTTTTATTTTAATAATTGAACATTGATACGTTACAAAAAATCATCTTGATCCAGGATGAATCTCGAGGCATATCTTAGTTGGTAACTTCCAAAATTAAATTTGGGAACATCTCAACTCTAATTTCAGTAAATTTATAATCAAATTGAGCGACTTAACAAGACGATCCAACGACATCAAGATCGGTCTGATCCGAGCTCAAATGAGTCCAAATCAAGGACTGAAACACATTTGGAAGGTTCAAAGCATTAATTGAATGACAAAATGATCTCTAGATATGATATGCTTATAGTCGAATAGAGCGGCTCGACCTGAAGAATCCAACAAACCTAAGATCGATTAATTCTGACATTATTTGGGCACATAGATGCTTGACAAACACCATGGTCCCTCTGACCACCGTCCCCCTTCCCCCTTTAACTATGATCCCTTCGACCACTGTCACCCGTCAACTATAGCCCCCTTCAACCATCATCACTTACCTACTACAGTCCCTCCAACCTTTATCGCTCGCTAACTATAGTCCATATGACCTCTGTCACTCCCCAACTACTATCTATCCAACCACCATGACCCACCAACTCCAGTCCCTTCGACCACCATCGCACGCCAACTACGGTCTCTTTGACCACCATCGATTGTTGCTTATGGTCCCTTCAACCACGATCAACCGCCGACCACGATCCCTCTGACCTTCGTCCCCCGCCAACTACGGTGGTCCATGCGACCACCATAGCCTGACAACTATGATCCTATCGACCACCATCGTCCGCCAAATACGGTCCCTTCGACCATCGTCGTCCACCGAAGATGGTTCCTTCAACCATTATCGCCTGCCAACCACAATTCATTTGACCATCATCGTCCGTCGACTACGGTCCCTCTGACCTCCGTCACCCCCTGACTACGGTCCCTCCGACCACCGTCGCTCGACTATGGTCCTATCGACCGAACGAACAGACTAATACTCTCTTGAGAACAACTCTCATATTACTAGAATTTTCCGACTCCCACTATGTAATGTGCTATATATTATGTATATTTTCTACATTGAGCCAATGCCTTCCACCCATGGAAGTACCTCATTTGTAATCAATAATAAACACTAGTATAATCATTTTAACTAGGTCAAGCCCATTGATTCACATTTCAGAATTTTCCACGTAAAAATCTTAGTATCTTTTATGACTCTTGTACCCCCTCTCTCTCTTTTAGGTGCATGTGTGCTGAATATTCATTGAAAGTTTAGACATTACGTTCTTTATCTCTCTACCGCAATGAATATTCCATGACGCAACAAACCTAAAACTTGAAGTTAGATTTCACTAAAGAGGAGTAAACTTGTTTCTTAAAATTGGGGGATCAATAAATTTTCTAATAAATTTGATGGCAAATCATTAATGACATATGATTTACTAAATAATTATATTTAAATCAACTAAAGAAGACAAATTAAACGGAAATTAAGTTGAGTTTATGTGCCTCTTGATGCTTGGAATTGGATAAATATGTCTATCATTTTATTTTTTGAGAAAATCTAAGTTCCCTGAAAAAAAAAATCCACTACATAACTATTTTCTTGTATTGACTAATTATAATTCTTAAAATACTATCATTGAACGAATGGTTGTGTAATGATGTGTTGCTTATTATTTTCACCACGTTATGCATGTTGTGATTATTCTTGGTTTTTTTTAATAATATTTGACTATTATCCGAGTCATGCTATTTTTAAATTTCTTGTTTTATCTGTTGTGATTAGGCTTTGAATTTGCTATGTTATGTCAAATGTTAAATGAACCTTATTTGAATTTTCAATTAAGTTATTTCATGAATTTTTTTTTTAAATAATATCATATTAAAATTTTACTCAAATCTTGTTAAAATTAGGGGTTTCAATATTTGACACATCCTGAAAACCTTACTTAAAAATTTCAGGTCAGAGTCAACCCGTTTCGCAAACGGGTCCGATTCGAGTTGATCCGAAAACTAGAACTCAACTCATGAAAATCATGATTCTTGAGAGTCATGATCGTGCTAACATGTGTCGTCCCGTCTGTCTCGTTGAGTGACCGCGTTTGACGTGAGTGCCCCTGGCCGATGCGGCTGCGGCCCTCTTGTTCGTGTTGACATGTCTGGCCGCATGGCCGGTGTCGTTGTTGCTATCCCGTCCATGCTGGCATGCCTGGCCAGTGCCACTGAGTGCACCCAACCGCTGTCGCCTTCCCGTCCCAACCTCCAACTTGAAAGCTGCTTTAGTTAGACGAAGCCATAATATTGATTCCTGCTTAAAGTAATTTTGTATTGTTTTAATTTTAGATGCTTGCATTGTATTAAAGTTTAATCGAATATATTCCAAAGCATGTTCTGATTATCTCTCAACAGTTTATCAACTTTAATAAATGATTAACACACGCTTAACATATATTTAAAACAGGCACTCTGATTTTTGTTGTTCGAATCTTGCAGAAACAAAATCCGCAGTCTCATCGAATTCTGAGACTGAAATTTGTTCTTTTTAAGGCGCTGTTTGGGTGCCCGTAAAAAGAATTTTGTATAAAAGGAATATTTTAGAGCAGTTTGAATGAGGAAAAAATGAATGCAGAATTTTATTTTTTTATTATTTTAAAATTAAGTTAATGCTATATAAATTATTTTATAAATTTTAATATTTTGAAGAAAATAATAATGCTCAGCACTTAAAAAAGGGAATATTTTGGTTTGGGCATTTCGCTTTTGGTGAAAGTTTTTGCAGATAGAGTCAAAGTGATGGGAAAGTAAAGGGGATTTGAATGTAAGCAAACGACTTAAAAGTAGACCTGTCAATTTCGGGTCACGGGTCAGGTTCGGGTCAACCCGGAACTGACCCGGCATTAATCGGGTCAACCCTAACCCGACCCGTTTGCAAAAACGGGTCGATTTTCCGGACCCGAACCCGACCCGGTTCGGGTCAACCCGAAACCACTTGTTTCCGCCAAATCCCGCGCCTAAATTCAAAAATTTCGCGGGCGTCGCGGAGCGTCGCGGGCGGAGTCGGCGGCGGAGCGTCGATTCGCGGGCGGAGTCGGCGGAGCGTCACATCGCGGGCGGAGCGTCGCGTCGCGCCTCGAGTAGAAAGCCAACAACTTTATGCTAAAATGTAATGGAAAATCTAGGGAAATTTACATACATGCCACGTATTCTTACGCATTTATAAATTTAATATATAGCTTTTTTCATTATACTTTAGTTTTTCAATCACATCAGACCATAAATACATAAAAAAAATATCAAATTAATGATATTTTTGGTGCTATTTAAAAATTTAGAGATTATTAATGTTTAGATTTTAATTATATAAATACATAAAAATACTGTATGATTTGCATGTAAATTTTCAAAATTTCTGATCTATAAAAATTAATGAGATGAGGGTTTATATACATATCTTTCAAAACTAATATTTACATAGTTTATATCTAAACATCACTATAGTTAGGGGTGTCAATATTTGACACGACACGAAAATCCAACTTGAACCCCGACCCAGAAATTTCGGGTTTGACCCGACTCGATTTCAAAATGGGTCGGGTTCGGGTTTCAGAAATCGACCTGTTTGAAAAACGAATCAGGTTCGGGTTGACCTGATGGGTTATCGGAACAACCGCGAACCGGTTTAAAATCAACTGCCCGCACGCACCCTGCCAACGCTGGCGCCTCGCGCCCGAGGCTGCCTGCGCTCTCCCTTGCTTGCCTGTTTGCGCTCGCGCTCACCCGCGCTCGCTTGCGCGTTTCGCCGTCCCGTGTCGGGTCGGGTCAACCCGACAACACGACGGGTCGGGTCCAGATCTGCATTTTTGACCCGTTTACATACTCGGGTTGGGTTAGGGTTGACCTGTTTGAACCCGGGTCAATTCCGAATTCGACTCGTGACCTGAAATTGACACCCCTTACTATAGTTGTCATATAATAGTGCTCGGTTAATTGAGTTAGAAGATCTTGCTAAAAGCTCGCTAGATCTCACATGGCTCCTCACCTTAGAGCTTGTCTCACTGTTGGTTGCACTTGTTGATACCTTCCATTGGGCTTGTTGTTGGGCCCACCATCATCTGAATCCTCCATGATCATCTCGTTTCTTTATTGTCGTGGGTTGCGATGGTTGTAGAGAGAAGTTTTGTACGAAGATCCAACACACAGATAGATAAGAGAGAGAGATGCAAGTGTTATAACATACATCAAAATTTTTAAGTAAAAATTTCTAAAATGCGAAAAAATCATAGGGTCTGGCCTAATTGAAATGAATCTACTAGTGTTTGTTGTTGATTACAAATGATATCCTTCTCAGGAGGAATGTGTTAGCTCAATATATATCATATAGAGCATATTACATAGTTAGATTGAGGTCGAAAGGACCATAGTGCCACATTACTTGTTTGGAGTTGAAGGAATACAATGACGACAGAGCTATTCTCAAGAGAATATCGGCTTATTCGGTGGTTGGTATGATTGTAGTCGGGTGACATAGGTCGGAGAGACTGTAATTGGGGGACTAAGGTCGGAGTGACTGAAGTCAATGGACGACGATGATCGAAGGGACTGTAGTTGGCGGGTGATGGAGGTAAGATGTACCATAGTCGGTGGGCGACGATGCTCGAATGAAGGCCCTGTGATGGATGTCAAACGGAGATACGACAACGATGGTCAAAGGTCCAATAATGGGGCCTGATGGCGAGGTTTCTTCAGTGGTGGTGCCAGGGTGGAGCTCATGGATGTTTTAAGCCTCAGAGATTTCTTGAGGATCTAGCCCAGGGTTTGTCTCTAAAAGTCCAAGCTCAAAAGGTTCCCCTCATATAGAAATAGGGGTTCTATTTATATATTTTTAAGAGTGGCATGCTTCCTTAGGGGTGTTAAAATTGGGTTATTGGCCAGGTTCATGCTGAACCGATATTGATCCACTACTGTTTGACATGACTTGAACCAAACCCATGTTTGCAAATGGGTTAGAAATTTCAAGCCGTACCCGACCAGTCGAGTTTTCAGGTTGACTCAATATGATACGAAGCCACGGTGCGAGAAGCGCAAATGAGAGAAAATTGTTACCAGAAGGAGGAGAAGAAACATCATCAATTTAACGATCGAAAGTATGAAATGGAGCAGTTGGGTTTTTCCCAGAAAATCATTTCAAGGAAGCGATCAAGCTCCCTCTTGATTCTCATCTTCTTCGTTGCTTCTGATATAACAAAAGAATGTCAAAGGCGCGAAAGAAACGTCATCGAAGGAGGTTACCTTCGGAGGAAGGAACATCGTCGAAGAAGTCTTTGACTCTTCGGTGAGACCGTGTGATAATGTCAAGAAACACATGAATAAAACTATGGAAGAAACATCGTGATTGTTACTTCCGATTCCTATCCATTGAGCTGTCGCCGGTCTTGACTTCCGACCCGATAGTAAGGTCCAAAGGAATGCCATTGAAGGAGGCGAATAAGTCTTTTATCAACTCATTCAAAACTTTACCTCACACTAATTAATTGAGGTAAGGAATCGGTTTAGATTAGAGTCAACTTCGAGTTAGTGAGTTGACCCGAACCCGACCCGATTTTTCAAACGGGTCAAAATTCTGAATCCAAACTCGACCCATTTACAAAATGGATTGATCCTAACCCGAATTTTTTTGGTTAAATTCAAGTTGGATTTTTGGATCATGTCAAATATTGACAACATTATGCTCTGTAAATATGAAGAAGATTCACGATAATTTTAGAGTGCTTCATCAAACAACTTATATTGATTCTCTCGATCATAGAGCATTCATTCAACATTTAATTACCTTAATAAATGTTGGACTTATGACATCTTGAACTTGTTGGATTCATCTCAGTGAGCCTCTCAATTCAACTATAAGAATACTTTATTTGAATATCATTTGACCATCCAATTAATACTCTAAAACTGCTCAAGATGTTTTAAGCCCTTGATTTGAGCCCATTTGGGCTCAGATTAGACCGATTTTGGAGTAGTTGGATTTGTCTTATTAAGAAGTTCAATTTGACTATAAGACCGCAAAAATTGGAGCTCAAAAGACCCCGAGTTTAAGAACTTTTATTCGGTCCGAGGAACGTACACTCCTCTACGTTCGGCCATCAATATTTTAGCGCCACTTAGCATGAAGAAAAGTCGCCGACCCGCCCCGCTGTTTTTTGGGTTCTCGCACGTGCATTTTTTTAAATCCTTGACGAGCCGAATAACATCTCATCACCTTTTGGATATATTTCAAATACCTAGCAATACCGAGCAAATACCAAGTTATACCTAATTTTTTCTAACAATACCGAGCAAATACCTAGCAATACCGAGCAAATACCGAGTTGTACCGAGTTTTTTCTAGCAATACCGAGCAAATACCGAGTTGTACCGAGTTTTTTCTAGCAATACCGAGCAAATACCTAGCAATACCGAGCAAATCCCTATCAATAACTAGCAAATCCTGAGCAAATACTGAGTTGTACCGAGTTGTAAAAAACTCGGTACAACTCGGTATTTGCATGGTATTGTTCTTCAGAGAGAGGTATTTCTCATTTTTGCAAAGCAATACCTAGCAAATACCGAGCAATACCGAGAAAATCGCGAACATAGCATTTCCGGGTTCCGCTCTGGGTCAAGTCGTCGGGCCGCGCGGTTTAGAGTAAGAGCACGTGGCGACATGTTATTGGCGGCCGAATGTAGCTCTACGTCCGGTCAGAGGACGTAATAATTGTTTCGAATTTAACTTTAGAAGATGACAACTTGAATATACCTCAAGATTCCAACAAAATCAAGACGATTTTTTTGGTGACATATCAATACTAAAAAATAATCTAAAATTACTTCTAGGCATAAAACACACATGTGCGCACGTACATAAAGAAAGAACTAGACAACTATCTATTTTTAAATGATAAAAATTATTTTCCCCACAGAACGTATACCACTCGTGACTATAAATATATCTCAACTTATAAAATATGAAATTACAAAAAAAAAATAAAAAAATTACGTAACGTATACCACTCACTTTACATAGACATGTTTGTAAATAATAAAAAAGCTATTTCAACGAATCACTATTTTCTTAAAGAAAATTATCCCTGTAAATGAGGAAAAGGTCCATTTGCCACGTGATGGGTCATTGCGAATAGGAACTCTGATAAGAAACTCCTTGCGTGAAATAGTGTTTACTCAACAGATGGCAACAATCAATACAGGTCTTTTGGATAGGAAAAAAACATTTAATACAGAATGGAGACCAACTGTCTTTTCGGATAGAGAAAATACTAATATGATAAGTTGAGTAGCCCCAACGGCTCAAAGCCTCTTGAATATAACAGCAGCAAACAAGTGCAATATTTTTACCAGTAAAACAGCACAAATTAATGAACAAAATTTGAGTTCCATGAGAATTCCAAAAGAGTAGAAGCCTGAGAGTTTGATGAGCAACTTTAGGCAATTCAAAAGTTCGCTTCGCTTGTATTGTTCTTGAGAAGGCTTAATCATACGCTAAATCTTGGAGAATCCAAAATCGGTGAACAAGCCCTGCATGAAAGGGAACTGATGTTAATTGACAAGAAGAAATAGCTCAGTGCTACCTTACTTTATTTACTAAAAGATTTTCATTTGATATAAAGAGAAGGAGCAACATAGATATTGATGCTTCAAGTTCAATCCAAGAAGTCCTGCTCATGGTGATCTGGTCGAGTTGGGAGAAGCCGTAGGCATTTTTGTGGGTCAATCAATTGGGGAATCAGAGACTCAACTAACATTAAGAACTTTACATGCCAGCGTGGAGTATTCACATGTGGTACTGCCGAACATGTAAGAGCTCCCTCTAATGGAAATCCCACACATACCCGTCATGTACATCCTGCTTTTCTATGTTTTGTAGACTTGTATGTAACTATGGAGAGTCGAGATATTCTACATAATGTGAATATTCCAACAAAAAGCTTGATTTTTAGTTTAAAATGATCAATATGTATAGGGTTTAGGGGAAAGTGTTCTTTAGTTTAGTTCAAATTATTTTTTGGAGGAGTTTGAATTCATGGCAAGATTTTGACAGAAGATTAAAGACACCAAACTATATGCGACAAGACAATCAATTGAAGGAAGTTTCATAGACTTCCCAATTAACATTGGGGGAAAGCGTTCTTTACCAAGGACAAATTAAGGCAGATGGTAAGTGCAATGCGCTGAATGGCATCCAAGTTGGAAAATGAAATGTGGGTAAATCTGTTGACAGGAAGAGTTAGTAGCATAACTCTTCACTACTTTCAATAAAATATAAGGAAATGGTAAGGATTAAATGTTAGCTCCTTAAATTAGTCTATGTACAAAACTCAATAGTGAGACTCATGAGATTGCCACTTAGCCATTAATCAACCACAAATATTATTGTCAATCATTCTTAAATCTCATCTTGCTAACATCCTATAGATGTGTAGTTCATTATCTCTTACATCAAAAGATTTAACCTTTTTTATGTCTCACTCTACAAAGAAAAGCTTAGGTGCAACTTGACCATGAAAATAGCTTATCCAACTAAATAGCTCAAATCTTACGCTTTTGTTGCTAGATCTTGTTGCTAGATCGGTTATGGCCCAAAAAAATAAAAGAAAAACTTTGTGGTTTACAACTTAAGTTTCGTTTGTGATAGCTTTTTTATTGCTTTTTAAAGCAATTTTTTAATATAAAAATTTTAATTTTTTTTGTATTAAAAAATTATTTCATAAAGCAGTAAGAAAGTCATCCCAAATGAAGCCTTAATATGCATTCAAGAAATTTAGGGTGCTATTTTACAGGTACAAAGAGTTAAGGTGTTAAATATGTTGATGCTTTCAAAGGGATTGTGGCAGTGCACAAGTACCTACAATTAATATACTAGGTACTTTGATCTTCAAAAATATAAGATCAATAAAATAGCACTATGAATGAGTGTGATAGGTTGAAACCTATTTATTATCTTTCACTATAATATTGATGTCCATAAATAAACAAATACAATATACTGAGAAGAAAGAAAATAGCATGAAAATAATTCTCAACCTAGAGAATATATTATATAAGAAAAATAAAATATTTAATATTAAATAACTTCTAATCTTGTAAACCTTTATGTATATATCATGAGGATCCAACTTATAGCAAAGAATGAAGAAATAAAGCGGTCCTAGAGCCCTTCTGAAGATATTTGTTTATTGTTCTTCGTAGGAGATATTATAAGCGATGATCCTTTTTTATAGAACTTCTGATAAGTGACAAACCACTTTAATATGTTTTGTTCTCTTATGAAAAATAAAGTTGCTAACAATGTTGACTGTTACTTGATTATCATATTTTAGAACTATAAGCTAAGCAACAAGAAGCACAAATTTGTCAAAAAGATTTATGATCGGATCATTTCACATGTAGAATATAGCATAGCCCTGTACTTAGCATCAATGCTGCTACTTTATAAATAAGATTTTCTCCCAAAAAACACAAATTTCAATAGATCCAATAAAATCAACATTATAGTAAGCTTCAGGTTTTAAATAGTTGGGTATCTAATAAACTAAACCTTTATCAAAAAACTTATAAAATTATCTTAAAATTCATAAGATGACATTACAGCTTTTCTTTTTTGATTTAACATATGCTAACTTATCATACCAATAGCAAGGACATATCAGGATGGATGACATCATGACAGTAATACAGATAAGCTTATCAAACAAATAAATATGATGATGGAGAGAAATCATTCTATATCATTAGATGCCAGTAAAGTATCCATGGAAGAGTCAATAGGTTTGCACTCGAGAAGCTCAATGGCATATTTCCTTTAGGAAGTAGGAACATCACTTTTGTTTATAAAGTATTCCACATCATCAGATGTTTGTAAGATTCAATTTTTGGGATAGGCGACAACCAAAATTTTTAGTAAAAAATGTTTTTTTTTTAAGATACTATTTCATCTCCTTAATATTAAAATATCAATTTTAATAAGAAGAGTATCCTCAACATCCATAACAAGGATCAGCCAAGCTACTTTTGAGCAGAGTCCTGCATATGGTACACATACTCACATCCACCCACGTACCCAACCCATACCCAATGGGTATGTATGACCATGATCTCATGGGTAGGTACTCAACATCGGGGGATAAAACTATTTACATTGCTAATCAATCCGTGGCAGATTGCATTCAAAAAGCATGAAAATTGTATGGGTATGGGTGGGTACGACATCCCAAAAGTCACCATTGGTGGGTACGTGGGTTGATGTGGGTATGGGTAATCATGTATTGCTTTGCATAGGAACTCACAAGATTACCGGCGCTTTTATTGGAAAGCCGAAAGAGCTAGCTTGTATTAAGGACTACCAATGGCTAATTAAAAATTTCAATCAAGCAAAAACATAGATGGATGTGGAAACTTGTTGGAAATGGTTCAACGAGGTGTTTTCTCCAGAAGTGAAAAGACGTACTATTGTTGATGGACAATGCTCTTGGACATTTCGAAGCTTTCGAACGGGACTATCTGCATAGTATTTTTCCCCCCAAATTACACAAGGTGGAAACAAACTTGCGATATAGGAATAATCGCAGCTCTAAAGAAACAACACAAGTATTTATATCTCAAGGATGTCATTGCTTTTTTACAATTTGTTGAGGAGGCGAAAAATCGTAAGGAGCAGGGGTAGTGGTTATGCCGAAGAGCTGTTGGGGTTTGTTACGGAAATCTAGCACACTTGATACAACAAATTATGTGAAAACTGCTTAGGATTCTGTACGGGCAAGCTCAATAAAAAATGCCTTCGAAGATAATGACATTAGAAACATATATTGATGCATGCGATAACTATGACAATTTGGGCACCAATGTTCTTCAAGCCATGGAAAGTTTAAATATTTCTATTGATCCTATAGAACTGGACGATTTCGTTCATGTCGACGATGAGAACAACGAAGAATACGTTGTTGCCATATTGGAAGATGATGAAGAACTTTTGGAGTTAATGAAAATTGACTAAAAAAGGAGTGTGATGATGATCTGAATCCTCAATAGTTGAGTGATAGTTTAGAAAATATGCATGATTGCATTTCAGGGCTTTGAGTGATGGGGACATCAGCAGGAGATTTCGACAAATCTATCATCGGAAGAATTATAGATATACGGCTACGATTCAAAGCCTCTATTTATGAAAAACTTATGCATTTCTTTTATTTTATATTTCAATTTTTACCTTTGTACCCCTGTGAGGGATTGCTTTTATGTTGTAGCCCCGAGGGCATTTGAGTCTTTTATTTTTCTTTATTTTGGAGGGCTATATATTAAGGCCTTAGTCATTGCATTGGGTTAATGATGATTTGAATGAAATTTTAGTCTTGTTTTCTTCTAGTTGTGATCACTTGAGAGAAGAGAGAATCCTAGGTGAGAGTAAAAGCAATACCCTTAATCCGTCCGAGAGTCTGGGCTCACGGTCTACTCCACATTTTCCCAACCCCAAACCGCCGGTTAAACCTCCTTTCCACCTTCTTCATGCTTCCGAACCCGTCGGCCTCCTCTCCATCTCCACCCATACCACCGGCTCTCTTCTCCCCTCCACTATAAACCACCACCTCCTCTTCCCAGACCACCCTAGCCCAAGGCCCAACTCCCCCCCCCACCAGCCTCCTCCCCGCCGGTCCCCTAAGCCCCAGCCAATCTTCCCTAACCGACGGCCTAACAAGCCCTTCCCCAAGCCGTCGGCCTCTCCTCCACAAATTTTGAATTTCAAATTCAAAATAGCCTCTTAATTACTTTCCTAAATTAGCCTATTGTTAACTTGAAAATTTTCTTAATTGGAATTCAAATAGATTTGAATTTCAAACCTTTCCGGATTAACAAAATTATTTTTGGAAACCTTCCCCTAATTCCTCTAAATCTGAAATTAGTTTACCCCCCCCTCATATTATCCTCTCGTGATTGTTCCATCATCTACAGAAGAAGAAAACCCCTCTCCCTTACCTCCCTTAAGCATCAATGGCTGATCCCGAGCGTGACCACGGATTCTTTTACGACCATCAAGGCTCGATGGATAGTCTACAATCTCCTTTCTTTAACCATAATCTGGAAGTTGATGACACTGTCGACGAATACTTCGACCGCATTCTCTTCACCCTGACATCTTCTATTGAAGAACACCAACCTTCCAGACATTGGCGACTCATCAAACATCCACCCGAGTCTTCCCCTCCAGTTAACTTTCCGTGGATCAAGACCTTATGGGTCCTCTTTCTTTTGGTGGCATCTCTAGGAATGCTGAAGTTGTTCTTCCGCTAACCTCATTATCAAAAGTGAAAGAGAGGTAAACTCGAATGTGAACTTTCTATTTGATAAACGGTGGATTTTGTTATTCTGCATCTAGTGCTATTAAGAATTTTGTTCTTATTTTAAATTATTTTGTCAATATTTTATGTAGACTACCACAACATAACTGCAACTAAGAACTCCTAAATCCTTATCTTGGTGAAACATTGCGTTTACAATTATCAAGGATTCACAATTTGTTATTAATTCCTAAACAATTCCTATTTTCATATATGTTTCACATCATTGAGTCTCTCCATAAACAGGATCTTGGCTTAGAGGATCAACTACTTTGCCCTGAGGTGCAAGAAGAAGCCGGAGATACATTCTAGACAATCATTTGAATTATTTTAGAAAAAGAAATGGGTAGTAACCCTTAATGTCAGACATAAGATTAAAGTAAAGAGGTAAAAAAGATCTTAAGGAAATAGAAATGTACATTTAAAAACTGGCAAAATTGAATAATACTAAAGCTTATTGCGATTAAAAAAGTTTGAAGTTTTATACTAAGTAGCGAGCAATACAAAAAAATTATATATTTTGATGATTTATATAACAGTCTTAATCTTAATGAGAAAAAATAGAAAGATACATATAATATCTAAGATGAGAGATAAGAGATCTAATGATTTTAATCAAGTTAAATGCTAAAAAGTGAAGTGAAAATAATAAGAACGTCAAAGAAAGACAAAATATTTGTTGTAAGAAACTATTAAATGCGAGATTTAAATATAAAATTATTTTTAAGGAACATAATATGCAAAATATAATGGATATCATAAATTGATAAAAAAATAAAATAAAATGAGCTTGGACATGAAAAAATGCATAAAAATAAGAATTTGGACAAGATATCTATTAAAATTTAAAAAGTTATATAGGGTATCAAGTGATTTGGTTAATAGAATTTTGAATATTAAGAGAATGCCACTTGATTGAAGAAGCATTTTGATATCAATATTTAAGAACAAAAGAAATTTTTTAAATTATGCAAATCATATAGGAATCAAACTTATGAGTTATATAATGAATCTATGAGCATGTGTAATGAAAGATAGGTTTAGAAAAAGTACATCAATTTTAGAGAACTAATTTGGATATCTACTATGGATATGATTATTGTATTAAGATAATTAATAGAGAAGCATAAATAACAAAAAATATCTTCACTGAATTTTTATTAATCTTAAGAATGCCTGTGAACTGCATTGGTGTAAATGCCACAATGAAAAACCTAACACTAGCTGTGATTGTGATGATTTGACATCATTTCACGACTATCTAATTTATCAGCTTCACTCTTTTCATCTTAGGGGCAACTTAAAATGCATATGGTGACATGACAACTCTAAAACCAAAATGCATGTTAAGCAGATATCAGTGCACCAACATCTTCGCTCAAAGGATTAGCAGATAAAGGATCTCACTTCATATGATTCAAACTAATTAAAAGTTGAATTTTATCCTTTTACACAAAAGGACAAAGAAGAGGAAAGAGAATTAAGAATTCAACTATTCTACATCATGTTGACAGCTGAAGAAGGCATGTATGTAGGTAATATCATTGACAATGATTTCAAATAGAATTAAAAGTGATCACCCAATAGAGGTGAAAAAATAGAAAAGATCTTGATGTAGGACTAAATGTGTTTGTTGATTTAAGTAGGAAATTACATGCTTATTATAGAGAAATCACAATTATCTAACCTCTAATAATTTTAAATGAAAGATTGAAAATAATAACGAGATGAATAGACTAGGCAATCAGTTACACGATAATCGTTAGGATCACAAAATAATCAATTCAAATAAAGCTTTGCAACACATGGAAGTTTTCACAGGAAATCCCAAAACTAACATTTAGACTAGTCACAAAGAAAATTTCTCACTCAACTCTTTGATAATTGGTGAGAACGGAGAAAGTTAACATAACCTTTATGACGCCACAATGAAGGCAAAACTTAGAAAAGAAAAGACTTGGAGGAAAGTTCACATTTGTCAGGATTCGGAAACAAGTCGCCACTAAACGGGAGGGCATTGTTGGTCACTAGCGGTGACGAGGGAGAAGAGGATCCTATCTACGTAGTCTTCAACAGATTGGTCATTCTCAAAGTCGATGTCGAAGAATGGTGACTGGAGGATGTTAATGAACCCTTGATCGTCGAATATGAAGCCGTGAACTTGTTCAGGATTGGCCATTCACGAGTAATGATGCCGAAAGAGGTCTTGTTTCATCTTCCTTAGCTGAAGTACCAAGCCTAGGAGAAGAGGCGTAGGGAAGGATGGAGAAACTTGGGTGGTCGGCCAAGGCTATGAGATGGGTTGAATTTGATATTAGATTTTGTGGGTTGACTAGGGAGGGAAAATAAATTAAAAATTGAAATTTAATTTCAGATTTAATTGGGAAGTGGATTGGGGATCTTGAGATTTGAATTTTCAATCCAAAGAAGAAAAAGGACGTAGGGGGGGAGGCCCTTTGATGAGGGGTTGATTAGGGCTCCAAAGTGGGAAAGAGAGATAATGTAGGAGAGAGAAAGAGGGAGGGGCCGGCATCTTGCTTAGGGAGAGGGGGACTTTAAGTGGAGGAGTTAAGGCTTGCTCTATTTAGAATCTTGAAATAGGAAAGATTGTTTTAAATCAAATCCCATTTAAAATTCAAATAGATTGGAGTTAAGGGACTTGCCTAAATAGGGTTTATCATTTAGGAAATAAATCCAAATTCAAATTCAATTGAATATGAATTTAAATAGTTTCCAAAGATACAAGGAGTTAATTTAGGAAGGGTTTTGAATACAAGATTTGAAATTTTGGAGCCAAGGGTGGAAGTGGGTGGCGGCTAGGATTTGGGGCAAGGGAGGCCAATGACTATGGGAGGGAAGTAGCTTGGGGTGAGTTGGGTGTGGGGGTTGGAGGGCTGGACTTAGGGCTATTGGTTTGGGGGAGAGGAGGTGGTAGCCGGCAGTTTAGGTGAAGAGGAGGTGGTGTCCGACGGTTTGGACGAGAAGGACAGGGTGGTCGGCAGTTGGAAGGGGAGAGAGGAGTGAACCGTGAGCCCAGACTCTTCCTGCAGCTGACGGGTAGTACTTTGCCATCACCTAGGGACTTCACTCTCAAGCTCTCCCAAAACATAAATGTAGAAATTTCTTTTCATTATATTCATCATTACCCTCTCCAAAGAGGAGGGGCTATAAATAGTTAAATACAATAGTAAAATAAAAGACAAAAGTGGTTCCTGGGGTCACATAAACCTACCCCCTCAAGTGCGGGTACAAACGGAGAAGATACAATACTAAATCAAATACAAATAATATCTCAAAAATAGAGTGGTGTAATCATGACCATAGATCTCCGACCTCTCATCTGGTAAACTCTCCACTGTCGGATGTCCTCATCAGATCTTCTAGCATTAATTTAGTACATTTTGCATGCCACGTTAAGCTTAAAGCATGTACTTAATTTGTATTCATTCTCAAATTGTCCTACTACATGATTGTCTATTAGTTTTACAAAAGAAATCACCACTGAGTAGCAATATGCAGAAGACTTTCAATGATCAAAATATTAAAGTAGCTAAAGTAGCCACGGCCCTCCTAGGTCAGTTGGTTGAGTGTTTTGGGCTTATCCAATAGGTATTGGGTTCAATGATAGACATAGATATATACGTATGTGATTTATAATTTCTAAATACCCAACTTCCAATTTCTGAAGAAAATCTCACCCTTAATAAGAGGTACTACTAATCCATAGCTCTTAAATGGTGAAAAACCAAAGAACTTTTAGGGTCTCAAAAAGAGTGCACATGAGAAGATTAGAAGTTTTATTTTTTTTAAAGTTTGTTAGCCATGGAATTGCAAATTGAGGCAAACAATTAACATTGCAAAAAAAATCTCCCTCCGACAGGCATCTGAACTGTCAACCTAATGCATGGAACACAATATGCAAGCACAAATGGGTGGAACAATGGTAGAAAGAATATTACAGAAAGTTAAGAATGAAAACATCATGTACACAACATAATCTATAATTATCAATTGGTGACATACAATTTCTAAAAGATTGATTACTTACATAGGCATCATTGATTGCATAGGCAACACAGTAGTGTTCCTGAATAGAGAAAAAAAAAGTCAGAAGAAGCCTAACATTAGTTAATATGTAAGAGCTAGCATTATTAGCCAGCTAATTATACCATCCTAGGTATTTTCTATCAGTGCATGTAGTTAAAATTGGCGCAATTATGACAGGCCAAAAACACTACAGCATCAAAAATCCTGAAGTCCTTTCAATATGAATGACTACAAAAGACACCATAATCTGTAGCAAGTGAGTAGATTAGTGGATTCAAAGGCTTTCCCTCAGTTTCAGGACTTACCTGCATCATATACCATTCTTCAAACTCATCAAACAACTCAAGCCGCTCAATCCTGCACCAAAAAGCAGCATTTAAGGAGTTTTTTGGGGGAAGCATTTTAAGGAGTTGAACTAAAAGGAGCCTTGCGATATCTGACAGTGCTTGCTATTGTCTAAAGTTTCAAGAAACACAGCGAGAACATCACGTTGAAAATGTAAAATTATACAGGAATCCATAAAAGTAAGGGAATCAAGAAAATTCAATGAAACAGAAGAAGTTTAAGGATAAGCAGAAAATTAAGTGGAAGAACTTCACTATAAAGAAAAAAAAGATGAGTTTATAGGCACATTTGGGGCAAATTTTTCATAGCTTTTGCTCTCCAGCCTTTGGGATGACTGCAATTGTTTATAAAAGTAGCTGTAGAATTGCCATGATAAAAGCAAAATTTTTGAAAGCTGATAGGTACAATAATATTTTTTTTTTCATTTTGAAAAAATTGAACAGAAACTTCTTACAATCAGTACATTCTAATAGATGGGGATGCAAAAATCCAATTGTCATCACATAAATTTCCAAAAATCAGTAAGAAGTAGCAGCCAAAAAAGAAATATGGTAGTGATCTGAAAAGCAAAGTAATGAAAAAACTTCTCTAAATGGAATCTAGTTAACCGTTGGAAATAACCAACCACAGAAACACAAATCAGCATATAACCCATATCCACAAGCATGGTAAGTTTACAGTGGGCCAAATGGATTTGGCTCACAAAATAGCAGGCGAGTGGTCAAGGGCATGGGAAGAAAGAGAGATGTGGGATAATAGATTATCAAAGGATGAAACAACAAAAAAGTAGCATTTACAAGTACGTATAGAAGGATAAGGTAAAAAAAACAAGAGTATGAGAAAGTTTGAGTAAGCAGCTTGAACTTACTGGGAAGGGTTTACAAAGGGAAGATTCACTTTTAGCAATACTTTAAGCTAGTAAGGAGAGGTAGACTGGATAAGTGATGAAAGGAGAAGTATGATTGAGGAAGATGGATGCAGCATGAAGATTGAAGGAGATTAGCAGGAGAGGAAAATGCTACATAAGAGGGCAAGGGGCCATGAGAAGTTCGGAAAGGAAAAACATATAGGACTTCCAAGAATTCCATGCTTGTATTGCTGAACCAGGCAGTGACTGGACCAAATTCCATTTTCTTGTCCTAAACCCAAGCTAATACAGAGCATGTCCTGATAGTTACACCCTGACATGTCTAAATTGTTATTCAGATTTGTGATAGGACTTGATGATCAAAACAGCACACAACAATATAAAAAACAACAAAGTCTAAATAGATCCAGAAATAACACACGTAGAGCCGTTTTTATTGATTTTCAAGCAAAACATGACAAGATACAAGTTGATTCATTGTTTGAGAGGTGAATCGTCTATCCTACAAATCCTAGCAGCTACTAGGAACCAAAAACCTCACAAAAACTGCTGCAGAAATTTCAAACATAACATAGAAAAACCCAACCCACCATTATCTCCCCCCTTAAACAGCTCCAATCCCCTTAATAAATGCCTCTTACATCTTTTCCCAAAGAGTCCCCTCCTTTCCCAAAGAGTTTACTCCCAAAGCCTCTTCTCCTATAGGTGAAAAAAGATGTCCTGGGCCCCACCTGGGCAGCTAGACTGCTGCTGCCAGCTGTATCAATTTGCAAGTACAAATATAAATTTTATAACCAAATAACATTCCATGATTCTTACAAAAACTAAATCTCATCCGGATTGATCATAAGCAACACAATCTAGAAGTTGATAAAGGAAAAAAAACAAATAAAGAACATGTTAAGCCAGTGGGTCCCATCGGGGCACTTGGAGAGGCAGAGCAAAAAGAAGAGGGGCAGCATGGGTACACAACAAAAGAATGGCCCAAGCAAGGAAGGGGCAGCATGGGAAAACAAAGTGGGGGGGGGGGGGGGCGTTGCATGCAGATTTGGAGGGGGGAGCCTATTGCTGTACAAAACAGTTTTCAAGGAGTTTCTTGTGTGGGAGAGCTGATCTACCTCTCAAAGAATATATTAAAGTTATCTTTCTTTTTGGAATTGTGTTGTAGTGCTATTGCTCTCCGTTTTTAAGGGTTGTCTTGCTGTTTTCTTGTACATGTGCATTATATTTGCTATTTTATTTGATTTAAGGGTGTTGTATTAGTGATTTCCCATCTTTGGGTGTTGTTTTAGTTAAAAATCTACTATTTTTTGAGTTCAAGTCCTATCAAATTAGTATCAGAGCATGATTTGGGACCTATGGCAGTGAAGAAAGTTGATGTCTTGAAAGGGCGTCTTGAAGGACAAGTTGGCTAGCTCAAATCGGCGTTTGAGGATAGAATTTCATCAATGGAGGATAAGTTTTCCAACCTATAAGAAATGATGAAGAAGGCGTTGGATCTTCACGTCCAACCGGCGGCATCAAAGGCAAGAGCGTGATAGGAAGAAATGCAAATACCAACAACCGGAGGGATGATCAAGATGTAGAGATCTTAGGGGAAGAGGAAAGGAGGCAATCTTTTGAACCACAACCTAGGAGGGGAATGGGTGGGAGGTTATGGCATGTGGAGGTATGAAGATGAAGAATTCAGGGGAGTTGAACTTGAAGAAAGGGAGACGCATGAGAGCGGACAGAGGAGAGATTATCATAATCGTTACATGGGGGGAGCCAAAGGAGGAAGATGGAATTGGGAAGAAGGGGCTCTGAGGGTGAGGAAGCTAAAGATGCCGGTGTTCGAAGGAGAAGATGCACATGGGTGGATATATAGAGATATTTTGCGGTGAATGGGCTGACGGATGAAGAAAGGCTCACGACAACTGCTCTATGTTTGGAAGGAAAAGATCCGGTGTGGTATCAATGGAGGGACATGAGGGCTCTGATCAGATCATGAGGGGAGTTCAAAAATTGCTTATTAGAACATTTTTGAACCAGTCGAGAAGGAAACTTCTATATGAGAAATTCTTCGCTCTTGTGCAGGAAGGGACTGTGATGGAGTATCAGGAGAAGTTTGAGTTCCTTTTCAGTCATGTGGGGAAACTATCAGAAACGGTGTTAGATGGAAACTTCATGAAGGGACTGAGACCAGAGATCAGGGATGTAATAAGGGTGTAGAGACCGAGAGAGCTAGGGGTGACCATGCAGCTAGCCAAACTGTTGGAGGATAAGAGGTTTCTGGAGAAGGGAAGTCAGAGCAGTTGTCCAAGAGCTATGAACCAGATGACGACCACTTTTCTGGCACTAAAAGTGCCACATGTACCGTCCCAGAGAGAACCACCTAGAGATTGAGGAGTGGGAGCAAGATCGGGAGGAAGTTTCAAGCGTTTGACGGAGACTGAGTTGTAGGAAAAGCAGGAGAAGGGGTTATGCTTTAGGTGTGATGAGAAGTTTACCCTGGGGTATAGGTGTGCGGACCAAACCTTTCATGTTCTCACCGTCGGTGATGATGAGGAAGCTAAAGTAGAGGGTGAAGGGGAAGATATAGTAGAGAAAGAGGAGAATCTACACCTGAACGTAGTTGAGATTTCACTGAACTCAGTGGTGGGGTTAACTCCAAACCACACCATGAATATAGGGGGAATATAGAGGGAAAGGTCGTGGTGTGCTGATAGATAGTGGGGCAACCCACAATTTCATTTCCAGTCAGGTGGTGGATGAGTTGGGGCTAAAGCTAGTAGACATAGGATGTTATGGGGTGATGTGGGGACAGGAAAGATAAAGAGTAGGGGCTAAAGCTACTCCTAACACAACAGGGGGTGCAAGTAAAGGAGGATTTTCTTTCATAGGAGTTAGGAAGCACTGATGTGATATTGGGTATGAAATAGATGCAGACTTTGGGGGAAACTCGGATAAATTGGAGGGCCATGACAATGAAATTCTACGTGGAAGAGAGGAAGATGCTCATTAGGGGGGATTCTAGTTTATCCAAGACCATGGCGAAATCTATACAAGACACGGGAGGGGGTTACTTAGTGGAGCTTTAGAGCATGAAAGGGATTTAGGAGGACGAGGTAGAGGAGGTGTCATTGCTAGTCCAACCACTACTACACCAGTTTGGAGATATATTTCAAGCCCCTCAAGGGTTACCACCCTCGAGGGAGCAAGCACGTCATTACCATGAGGGAGAGAGCTACACCCATCAATATTAGACCTTATACATACCCCAAGATTCAAAAGGGGGAGATAGAGAAGCTGATTCGGGAGATGTTGGGGGCGGGGATCATCCAGTCGAGTGTGAGTCCGTTCTTAAGCACAACACTATTGGTGAAGAAGAAGAATGAGAGCTAGAGATTCTGTGTAGACTATCGGGCTCTGAATAAGGAAAATATTCCATATGAGTTTCCTATTCATGTGATAGATGAGCTACAGGACGAGTTGTATGAAGCGGTGATTTTTTCCAAGATTGATTTGAAGTCGGACTATCATCAGAACAGGATGAGAGCACAAGATGTGCACAAGTCTTCTTTTTGGACACATAAGGGACACTACGAGTTCCTGATGATGCCTTTTGACCTCACCAATGCTCCAGCCACCTTCTAGTCTCTTATAAACTGGATGTTCCAGCCATACATCTGGAGGTTCGTATTGGTATTTTTTATGATATTCTGATTTACAACAGAACTCAGGAGGAGCACTTGTATCATTTGAAGGTAGTTTTGGAAACTTTGAGAGAACTATACGCTAACTTAAAAAAATGCTCCTTCGCACAATTCAGAGTGGAGTACTTGGGACATGTTGTGTCTCAGGAAAGGGTGGTAGCTGATCAAAGATTGAGGCCATGCTGAGGTGGCCTATACCCAAGACGTTGAAGGAACTCAAGGGTTTTTTGGGCGTTGCAGAGTATTACAAGAAATTTGTAAAGGGTTATAACTCGATAGTCGGGCCACTGACATAACAATTGAAGAATGATAGCTTTCAGTGGGGGAAGCAGCGACTAGAGCCTTCAAGCAGTTGAAAAAAGTCATGACTACAGTTCTGGTGCTAGCATTACCATATTTTAGTTAAACATTCATAGTGAAGACAGATGCCTCGGGCTATGGACTTGGAGTGGTACTCATGTAGAAAACAAGGCTAGTGGCATATTTAGTCAGGTACTAACCGCCTGAGCAAGTCTGAAATCAGTTTATGAGAGGAATCTGATGGCGATTGTGCTAGCCATATAGATGTGGCGTCCATATTTGTTGGGACAATATTTCATAGTCAAAACTGATCTGAGAAACTTGAAGCTTTTGCTAGAGTAGAGGATGAGAGGAGCATCAGTGATGGCTCTCCAAGCCAATGGGGTATAACTTTGAGATACAGTATCGACCTGGGTTAAAGAACAAGAGGACAAATGCCTTTATTACGATGCTTGGAGACTTCACAGATTTTAGCACTATCAATTCTGATGGTCATGGACTGGGAAGCCCTAAGGAAGGACAATGAGTAGGACAAAGGGTTGGGCAAGATCAAATTTGACTTATTGAAGGATAAGGATAGCCATCTTAGATATGCCTTAGTTGGGTTAAAGTTACTATACCAGGGAAGGTATGGGAGGATGTCATTATGGATTTCATCGAGGGGCTGCTCAAATCATTAGGATTCATGGTCATTATGGTGATAATGAATCGGTTGAGCAAGTATGCACATTTTATTCCTCTATGCCACCCCTATACGGGAGTATCCATCGCAGTGACATTCATAAGGGAAATTGTTCGTTTGCATGGCATACCGGAGTCTTCAGTGTCAAATCGAGACAAGGACTTTTTGAACCACTTCTAAAGAGGATTGTTCAAAATGTATTGAAAAATATTGAATAGCAACACTCAATGTTTAAAATTACGTAATCGGGTATTGAGGCGTCTTTCGTTTGTGAGGCGAGGCGTAAGCCTCAAAATCAAAAAATTGCGTAAACATAAAATGATAAATTTTGTATATACTAATGAGTAAATAATATATAAAACATAAAAATACATAAGATATGAAGTGAAATAAACAAAATTCCAATAATAAGACAACATAAATACAATAATATACTAGTCTGCCGGGGGTCCAAGGGGACGCTGCCCCCTGGCGGAATTTGACCTGTTCGTAAGAGTAATTTTGAAGTTATGATTGTTTTTAAAGTTCATAAGTTGTTTGTATGGAAAGATACCGAGCGGTACCGAGTGGTACCGAGCATGTACCTAGCGGTACCGAGCATGTACCTACTCGGTACCGAGCATGCTAGCGATACCTAGCGGTATTGAGCATGTACATTAACTCTCTTTTTTTTTAATTTTTAGAGGCGAACACCTCTCAACCTTGACTTGAGGCGCGCCTCAGTAAACTTGAGGCATACGCCTCAAATCCTGAACTCATTGGTGGGCTTTGAGGCTTAAAGGGGCGAAATTGCGCTGAGGCGCGCCTCTTATTGCGCAATTTTAAACCATGGCAGCAGCCCGTGTAACCACCAAACGGATGGGCAAACAGAAGTGGTGAACCGCAGTGTTAAAACTTATCTACGATGTCTTGTATATAACACCCCAAAATTATGGTAGAAATGGTTAGTGTGTGCAAAATATTAGTTTAATACTTCTTATCATACAAGAGCTCAGACGACACCATTCAAAATCTTGTATGGTAGAGATCCTACCCATTTGGTGTATTATGGTCACGACAACACATCAATATCATCAGTAGAGAAGTATTTGGAGGAAAGACCAGATGTTAGTAGGATAAAAAGGGAACCTATTGAGAGCCAACATATCATGAAAAGATAAGCAGATGCACACATGAGAGATGTATAGTTTGGTATCAGAATACAGGTAGGTATTTCATATTTCTATGAAGTCATACTAAATTAATTTCATCAAACAAAAAGGCAAATGAGAATTTATTGAAGTGAGCAAATTATATAGCATTCTATTTTAAGAAAACATTCTTTTCTTAAAAACTTAGCTGTACCAAGAACAGTTACCTGCGTTTTTCTTGAGCTTCAATGAACTCATTATATATCCTCAGCATATCCCAGGCAACAGCCCTCTGGAACATTAAGTTTCAAATGTTAAAAAAGACAAACCAAAGTCCGGATGTATACAAAATGTGTGAAATCATGCCCTGGGAAACAAATTATTCTTTCCAAATTCAGGTCCATTTACGACTATTACAGAACAGATCATACAAAACACTTTGAAGTATTTCAACGAAATAACTCATTTTCTTGCAAATAGTCAAACTAAACAAAATTACCTGCCATCCCTGATCAAGAAAGAGTTTCTCCTTGGTAATTAAAGTTGGTGTTGCATATATACCTAATAGAGGGCATCCTCGACTCTGCAAACAAAAGCAACTGGTGCATGTAAGTTTTGGTGGAATATCCAAAAAGACCTAGTTTTTCTTTATATTCAAGCAAAGTCTATAAAATTGTTCTTCAGAAGACAACTTCAGCAAAAAAAATTTTAACCAGAAGTTGCAGCAGATTAAAGATGCAAGTTAATATCTTTCTCGCTGATTATATAAATAAGTGTATGAAGAGTGCCTTCGCAATTGAAATTATCACAAAAGTATCACTGAGATATTCTCTCCCTCAAGGCACATGCATTATTCCGAATGAAGGCCCCTATTTTTTTCTTGCCCAATGGTTCTAATTGATCTGATTTTCCTACATAATTATAATTATAGGTAGCCTGATTAAAGCTTTCCATTGGTTGTTGCAAATATTGCTGCTTTTGCAGGTGTGCCTACAAAACCACCACTGCGGGTGGCTTAGTACTGGCTAAGTACATAGCATGCATAACCAGCGTATTATCCCTAGAAAATTAGCAGTAAAAGTAAGAATAAGTTAGTTAACTAGGAAGTCAAACAAATGAGTGACAATTGCTTCACATAAAAATTTTCTTTCCAGCTAAAGAATGTGACATTCACGTAAAGATAAGACGAACATTTGGTCAATCAGAATGAGAATGAAGTTATGGTGGTTAATTTGCGCAAGAGAATTAGAATGAGATTATGGTGACTAATTTGCACAACAGACAGGGATAGAATTCCCAAAAGAAGCAAGCAGTAGACAACATAAGACCAAATGAAGCAGTCCTACAGAGACAAGACTTCCCATACAAACAGAACTGCTGAAAATGTATTGCATTGGTTAACAACTAGCCTAGTGGAAATGAAAAGTAAGGGGCAAACGACAAAGAGAACAAAATTTAACGGTAAAATGTAGATCCACATCAGGAATATACGGTGAAGAGAGGTTATAGTACATTCAACAATTTTTTGGATAAAGCTCGTTTATAGATTAAGGATGCTAATGTCAATTCCACCCCAGATCTAGCATTGAAAGAGCCTCATGCACAGGATAGACCATAAAACTGTTGGAAAAGACACACATTATTCCAGTTAAAAGGATAACAAGCTTCTTTTCATTCAAAAGGGCACTTACAAGCAGAATTACACGGATATATTTTAGAAAACTATAAGTTAGGATGATGAAGTAACTCAAATATCAACAAAGCTGATTATCATCCAAAATCAAATCGTAGCAAGAAGCACAAAAATATGTCAAATATTAGAAAGAGATCAAACACCAAAAAGTGAATTTCCATACATCTCCAACTGTAAAAAGCATAAATCAAATCCCAAAAAAAGGATTTGTTTGGCATAGCCTTCTATTGCATTCTTCAGCTTCCTTAATAACATAGGTAGATTTAGAGTATGTGGAAAAATAACTATGAGAAAATGTCTAGGACCATGAATGAATACCCGCTTAGAACATTAACTTAGGTGCCTCACCCCCCACCGCAACAAAAAAAAAAACTTTTTAAGAATTTTAGCTTTTGACATAATTAGTTATTCTTTTATCTATTTATATACTAATTAACATAAAGGAGTTAAAATAGAATTGTATGAAAATCCTAATAACATCCAATTTTGTTATTAAATCAACTCATGTTAGTGACATAGTTATTAAATAACCATAATGTTTATGGAACTTTAGACAGTTACCTTAACAATGGCTTTACCAAATAGTCATTTGCTTTACTCAACAACAGAGCCCGGCAAAATACAACACAAGACGTCAATGCTAAGCTTAACCTAACTGTCGATACAAAGATGAACTGAAGGCTTAAAATGTAAGAGTGCATTCATTTAACAGTAAAACCTTTAAACCCATTCATCAACTTTGCCGGAAAAAAACATGGCAGCAGACTAAGATGAAAAATACATGAATGCTCTACTTATGAACACACCTCGAGATTTTTCATCATTTGCTCACCGAATGCATCGTCAGGATGGATCTAAGAAAAGACAGAGCGCTGATAGCACGGTTAGCAAATACCTTTCTAAAATAAATTAAAAAAAAGTAGCATGCTAAAAAAGAAATTTACTTGCTCATATGCAAAAAATATTGCAGTTGAGAATGTTTTTGAAGCCCATCTAACAATGGAACAAGTTGAATCTGGATCCAAGTATATCAAAACGCACTCTGCAATTATAAACGTTGGCAAGCTGATAATAGCATTAGAACAAGTTCAAGTTTCTTTTCCGCATACAAGTATTTCAGTTCTTAAATTTAAGAAAGCAGGTTCTTTATTAGAGAACATGTGACACATTCAGAAATAGAAACATCAGAGAACCGAGCCCCCTTCTGAGTAAACAAATAAGCTTTCAAAATCACTGGAGAGATCAATGGTAGATAAATAAAAGCTAATTGAACCCCTATTGATTTTCCAACATTAAAGTGGCATTCTAATGCTCTTCACCTACATTGGCAGCTTGTTTATTAGACCCATAATGTTTCCCACTACTTGAAGGCATGACTGAAAATAACAGAACACAAAGATTCTGTCTCAGAAATGAATTCGAGGCAATTGTTGATGCAGATTCCCTTCTCCATTCCTGTAGCATTTGTGCGCATGATATGCGACTTAAGTCCTCGTAGTTTTTATGTGTGTGAACTAAGGCCTCTGTTCCTGTAGCCTGCAGGTGTTATAGGTATTTGTCGTGCTATCGATACCGCTAAGATCCAGATTCAACTGAGAAATGGATTCAATCCATATGAAATGTCATGATGTGTCACTGATTCCGTGTTAATCACCCAAATTTATGTGGATTTATGTTCACGCTTATCTAATGAAAATGCACCACGGAAATTTCAGAGATAATAAAGTCTAGGGCTTTGATTTTAATAAATAGTAAATTCTGAGGCATGTAAAGGAAATGTTTTGGCTTAATTACTCGTGTTCTATATTTTGTTAACTCTTAACATTATTCGATTTTCTTCTACATAATTCGATATTGGCTTTGGCAAGCGTGCTTGATTTTAGTCAAATCCATTTTAGTTATGATACATCATCAAAAATCACTTTGATTGGGCACAAATCTCGAGGTGCATTTGATTTAAAGACTTTCAAAATTAAATTCAGGACCATTTGAGTTCCGATTTCATCAAACTTATAGCCGAATTGAACATCTCGACAAGAAAAACCTAACACGAGTGGTATGATCCAAGCCGAATGAGCCCAAATATAGGCATGAAACGCAATTGGAAGCTTTAGAATATGTTAAATTCAAAGAATTAGAGAGGGAAACAACTTAATTTTATTGGAAAAAGTCATCCCTATTTATCGACTATACATGATATCTTAATAGAGGTGTCAATATTGGACTCGACCCAAACCCAACCCGAAAATTTCGGGTTTGGGTTGACCCGAACCCGAAGCGGATCGGGTTCGGTTCCGGAAAATCGACCAGTTTGCAAAACCGAGTAGGGTTCGGGTTGACCCGGAAACTCGGGACTAACCCGGAATGACCCGAAAAAACTAATCTGCCCACTCTAACTGCCCCTGCTCGAGTCAACCCGTGTTGCCTGGCCCGCCAGCCCAGTGACCCACCTGCCCCGGCTGCCCGCATCACATCGCATTGCGCCATCGCATTGGGAGACGGCATCGAGTCACATCGCCTGCCTGCACCGTTGTCGCGTCGCCACCGGCGCCGCCGCTGCCCAGCCGACAGCCACTGTCGTCTTCCGCTGCTGGAAGACCGAACAGCGTGCGAGAAATCGGATTAACTGAACCACAAATGGGAAATTGAATAAGGTTTAAGACTTACGGGTCGAGTCGGGTTGACCCGAACTCGAAGCAGGTCAGGTTCAGGTTAACCCGAATAGTGACGGGTAGATTACAGGTCCAACCCAAACCCGATCCGTGACCCGAAATTGACACCCCTATATCTTAATAAGGAAACAAATAATCATGGAATAATACACAATGCCCCAATACAATCCTTCCTAAATCAGCCACCCAAATCTAGAAGGAGATTAATGTGATCCAGGTGAGCCTCCCATGAATCCCCATGCTAGCCATGAGATCAAGGGCCCAAGGGACGGCTGGGATTTAATAAGGTGAATCTCCCACGAATCACGATGCTGGACATGGGATCAAGGGCCAAGGGACAGTTGGGATTTAACACTCCCCGTCAAGATGGGGAATACAGATCTCTCATTCCCAACTTGGTAATTAGTCCAAGAAAGATAGAGTTATCAAGTCTCTTAGTAAGAATGTCTGCAAGCTGATCTTTTGATGAGACAGGTAAATACAAATAAGTCCATTGTCCAATTTCTCCTTTATAAAATGTATGTTTACTTCTATGTGCTTAATTCTGCCATACTAAACTGGATTATGAACTATGTTGATTGCTGATTTGTTATCACAATGTAGCTTCACGGGTCCTTCCCACTTGATCCTTAGGTCTTCTAGAATCATCTTGATCCATAGTATAACTAAAATATACCTAAGATCATAGCTATAAACTCTGCCACGACACTAGACCTTGCCACCATATTTTGTTTCTTGATCCTCCAAGTAACTAGGTTACCTCCAAGGAGTGTGCAGTATCTTGAGGTAGATAGTATATCTACTAGTAATCCTATGTAATCTGCATCAGTATAAACTTCTGGAGTTATTCCACATTCTCTTCTAAAGAGAATCCCCTTTCCTTGATTCCCCTTGAGGTAGTGCAGTATTTTGTCCATAGTTTGCATGTGAGTTTGCTTTGGATTATGCATGAACGGGCGGACTAAGCTTACGAGAAAGGCTATATCTGATCTAGTGTGGAAAAGGTAGATCAATTTTCTCACAAGTCTCTAGTAAGCTCCCTTATTTATGTTTGGATCCTCTTTAGCTTCCCCTAATTTGATATTTGGTTCTACTGATATTGATGTCGGTTTACAAACAAGTTTACCTATTTCTTTAAGAAGATTAGCAATGTATTTTTGTTTTGAAATAAAGATTCCTCTGTTGAAGTGTGTCACTTCAATTCCTAGGAAATATTTCAATCTACTAAATTCTTTGACCCCAAATTCCTTAGAAAGACATTTCCTTAAAATCACTTTCTCCTTTTTCATCATTTACCGTTAAGATAACATCACCCAAAAAAACTAACAAAACTGTGACAAACCCTGAGTCTAGGTGCATGAAGAATACTTTGTGGTCCCCTTTGCTTTGCTAATATCCATTGAGTAGCATGATGATAGAAAGTGCTTGTAAAAATCCTATCTTCCTTGGCTGAAATTAAATTACAACAATCTTAAACATAATCTGCAAGAGGAATTAAGAGCAAAGAAAACAACAAGATACAATGGATCTTCTATTGGAGAGGAAAATTCAGCTCTCCCAAATCCCTAGCAGCTGGCTAGAGCTCAAAAATCCCTGAGAACAATCTAAATTCAACAAATAGACCCATACCCCTAACCCTAGGAAAATCACCTATTTAAAGCAAACAATAAACAACAAATACCCAAACAGCCCTCTGCCCAATTCCCTCCCAAATCTGTCATATTTTCTTAATTATTTCCCTCCCAAATCAGCCCCCAAATCTACCCTCTTCAATTAGGAAATATTTTCTAATTAATCCCCTCCAAAGCAACCCCAAAATCATCCCCCAAATCTGCCCTATTCAATTAGGAAGCATTTCCTAATTAATCCTCTCCAAATTAGCCCCCAAATCAGCCCTCTTCAGTTATGAAATATTTCATAATTAATCCCCTCCAAATCAGCCCCCAAATCTACCCTATTCAATTAAGAAATATTTTCTAATTAATCCCCTCCAAATCAACCCCACTCCCATGCAGCTCCTGCTCCTCTAGTTGGATGTAATTGCTAGTCATGTAAGGATTGACTAGACCGGTCTAACAATACCCCTTTCCCCAAAGATCCACATTGTCTGCAAGGTGAAAAGACAGCTCCTTCAATTTTCTCGTCATCACAAACGATGAGAACGTGAAGAGATTAGTTCTTACATCGGTGATCCGGTGTATATCTCTCCTCTGTTTGAAACAAATCCCCTTCACCCTCTTCTCCTATAACTATATTTCTGTAAGCTTCTTGAAATTTTACCTAGGTCTTCCTTCTGCAGTCTTCTCCTTCGGGGTCTCACTAAGAGTACACGGTGTGGGCACCTTAGATGTTAAAAAGGAGGTGATTATCATGTACGAACCTCCTAAGATGTTGCCTCCAACCCCTCTTTCCAGGTGCCTCTGATCTTCCACTAACTGAGCTAGCTCCATAGACACTCCAAAATCACGAGACCTCATCGCTCTAACTGTCACCCGAATATCTAGTTTGAGCCCTTTCAAAAAGTTCAACTCCACTACAGCCTCCGAAAGACGGTCCAGTCTGCTGGCTAGGTGCTCAAACTGCTCATGGTATTCCACCATTGTCCCCTATTGCGTCAGGTCAAAGAACTACTCATAAAGGTTTCCTCCCCTGTTGGTTAGAAAATGCTCCAACAAGAAGTCTTTAAACTCCCTCCAGGTCCGTATGGGTCGTCTTGAATCACTCCGCTGGTAACATGCCAACGCTTTTCCCTCCAAGCACATCCCAGTTGTCGTTAGTCTGTCCTCCTCCATCAACCTATTGACAGTAAGTACATTTCGACCTTGTAGATCCACCCATGGACATCATCTCCCTCAAAAATAGGCATCTTTAACCTCCACACCCTTGGATCTCCTTTGTTTCTCCTAATTCCTCAATAATTTCCTATTCCCCAAGGGAGTGGCTCCCTCCAAGTATTCCAACCATTCCTTCTTTAGCTCTTAACCCAACATTTCATCAAATTTACACCTTCTCCTTTCAAATTGAGCACCCCTTGGATCATAATCATCCCTTCTCCTTTAAAATTCATCCCCTCGCCTTTCAAATTTAACACCCCTTCGATCAGAATCAGTCCCTCTCTTTTCAAAGTCAACACCCCTTCGGTCATAATTAGTCATTCCCTTTCAAATATTGTCCCTCTCCTCTCAAATTCAGTACCCCTTTGTTCATATCTGATCTCCTCATGCCTCTCCCCATACCCTCTACCCGGATCCTCCCTAGTAATAGGCTCTAGGGGAGGCACTCTCTTCTCCCTCCAATTCCTTCACCTTATCGAATTAGGGGTTTCCCCACTTATTTGGTTGTCAGAGGGTTCCCTAGCCTATGGCGACGCCGTTTTGGGCTGGCCCTCGAAAA